CTTAGATCCTCTGAGCTCGACTTTGCACCACTTTTCTGCCATCTAGCGGTTGCTTTGCATTACTACACTACTTTGTGAGCAAGAAAATACATCCACCTTTTACATTTGACACCTTATCATTTTATAATTTAAAATGAGTATAAAAAAGAATATTTGGAATAATGAATATTAAAATGTAGATTTTTTAATAAAACAAAAGGTTTATTTGTGTTTGTGGTTGTGACTGAAAAAAAGAGACTTGAGCTTTTTGGTTCCGCACAAAATTCAGGAAACACCACCAAGGCCTAACAAGATGGTTGTGCAAATTATTCTGTTATTGAAAGCCTACGCTTATATTTAGCAGAGATGTATAGTAGATGTAGTAAAAACAGCTGACCTACGCTTGTCCAGTATTAGTTTTTATAAGTTGCTGCGTCAAAACAAAAAGAGCAGAATCCGCACACTTCAATCTGCGATTGTGAAAAAGAAAACTCTCACAATTGCAGATTGAAGTGTGCGGATTCTGCTCTTTTTGTTTAAACTTTTTTGATCCAGCACCTCAGCCCAGATGAGCGGTGTTTTTCCATCAACTTGACATAAGTTGCTGCATAAAAGCTAAATGTTTTTAGATAACTTTAAATAAAACTGACAGTTTTGTAAAAGAGTAGGCTACAAGATTGTCTCCAACTACCTGTCGATTTTCTGCACATATTTGTTCCTGAGAGCCTTTTTGTTTACTGAGTATTGGTTTTTAACAATGTTAATGCTTATAACTTGAGCCCTACAGAGTTCAGCAGCCAAATCGAGCCTCTACTACCCCTGTGAGTCAGTGATTCCTGGGTCTGCATGAAGGTCTCCTTCAAATGGGACATCGCTGAAAAACGCCCATTGGAAGTCAACCTGGTTGCATCCTAATAGTTGTCCAAACTCCCTCTGCTGGATCTTTTTCAGTTGAAGCCATTTTACTCTGAGCTCCTCTCATATGATGAATCGTTATCTTATCTCCAAGGCTGAGCCTGAAAACCAAAAGCTTATCTCAGCTAGCCTGGCTAGCCATCCTATACATGTAAATATACTGCAGGGCTAAATCATTTTGCTTCTAGATTCTAGGCTACATCCCAGCCTCTTGTATCCAAGATCTTGTTCCTTTGGTTGAGATACAAATCTCAGACTGTTGGTGAGGGTTGTGATGAGCCTGAGGAATGTCTCACTGTCAATAATAAAAAAGAAAGGGGAAAAAAAAACACATGAAAAACACGTTTTCATTTGTTTACATAAATGAGTTAAAGCTAACTACCTACCCGATTTATTTAGTGCATAGAATAAACATCCAGCCACAATCAGGATTGTTACAACCACACGTAACCAAAGTGATGAAGAAAAACTTGCTGAGAGATTCAAGCTTTGTTATAAGGGTCATAGATCTGTTTCGAATAAATAATCAGTTAAAAGATGCCTAAATGTAACTTCCTGTTTAGTTCTACAGAGTTGGCAGAATCCTGACCATGTCTGGGTTCTGACACCAAACTCCTCTCCTGATCCTAGAACTGGAGTCTGACGATGCAGCTCAGGTTTTCTGGATTCATGCCCTCAAGAAGCTCCAGCTTACTCTCCACTGAAGCAAATCCATCTGAGCCAGGCAGCGTTTTCACAGACTCAGAGTTTCCCGTAAGACTCCCGCTGATGTTGGATGGATTTCCTCCTTCAGCTCTGCACACTGCAAACATCTTGATGCAACTTCGTTCCAACCAGGCAGATACGGTGGGAGGAACTAAACCAAGAAAGACCAAAACAGAAGAAAAATGTCTTTGTTTAATATTAAAATAGCTACCTGTGCAAAACGTTAAATACAAGGTTAAATGGCATTTACTGATCATGCGAATGACATACAGTTGTTGTACACACACACACACACTCTAAGATGAAACAAGAAGTAATTATTTGGCATAAAAATAAAATCTTACCTGTGATAGTCACGTTGATCTTATAATTATCATTTCCTCCTGCGTAAACTGACTCACACCGGTAGAGACCCACATCATCAGCTGAAATATTTGGGATGTGTAGGTACGACTGACCAGCGGTAGTGTTCTGCAGAAGCTTGCCATCATTGCAAGAGTCAACATTTTGCCCCTCATTGATATAAGAGATCTGACAGGTTTTGTGTTTCAAGTCTAACTTCCAAATAACAAAGATGGTCTCCTTCCATGTCCTACTGCTGCATGTCAGGTTAACGCTGCTCCCAAGGTTAAACACTTGCTTTCTGTTAACTGTAGAAACAAAAGAGTTACTTTAGATAATTTTGTATTTTAGCAAAATGCAACATACAGTACATCAGATCACACTTAATAATAATGCATTGAACTTATAAAGCGCTTTTCAAGACACCCAAAGACGCTTTCACACACTCTCACATTCACACACTGCCAGTGATGGTAAGCTACTTGTAGCCACAGCCACCCTGGGGAGGTCTGACAGAGGCGAGGCTGCCATTTGGCGCCGTCGGCCCCTCTGACCACCACTAACACAGGCAAGTTGGGTGAAGTGTCTTGCCTAAGGACACAACAGCAGGATACCCCTGGCGGAAGCTGGAATCGAACCTATGACCCTCCGATCATGAGGCAACCCGCTCTACCACCTGAGCTACTGCTGCCCCAATGTCAAACTGATGTTAATGTCAAACTACGGACAACATGTCCAATTTATTTGAAGATAAGACCAACTTTTAACATGCTAGAGATATAAAAAAACACAGCATTTCATGCTAATATCTGACCAATATTAACAATTTTTTTTTATTTTTCTACTTCATGCGAGATTATCTTTCAGTTGAGCCTATTTAAAGTCAGGCACATTGTTGGGCAGCACAGTCCTGCTGCAGATTTGTATTTAAACATTCCTGAGAAACATCTTTTAATGAAATCTCTAAAATGTTATCGTCAACTGAAATTTACTTTTATTTACATATTTTATATTTAATACTTGATTAATTTTTGGTTTTGTTTAATTAACTCTAGGTAAATGTTTGATTTTAATACTTTGCAGTTGACAAAATTAAGGTTCAAGAGTTCATTTATTCTGTTTTCAAAAGCTGATTATAGGCTAAAGGTGAGAGTCATGCTCGCTATCCAGTCAGCCAAAGGGACATCCCCTTGGCCAAGTCGCCAGGGCGCATGACCAATCGGGGTACTGTGACAGGACGCTCACACTGCCACATCTTCCCCCCTCTTTCCACAAGCACGTCCTCGTGCTCCCGCGCAGGGCGCCACAAACTTCACATCCATGGACCTACTTGACAGTACCTACTTCTGATACCAATTATTCCATCTATCTTCAGTGTCACAGAAGGTTGATACAATTTCATCATGGCTTTATATGTCCTTGTTATTACAAGATGCATCTTATTAAAACCACGTGTTAAATATGTTAATGTTTCAAACCTGGATCAGAAGAACACAGCCCAGCAAAGTAGATGATTAGAGGGTAAATCCACATCCTGTAAGTCTTCAGCTTGCCTTTGGGTTTCTGGTGAAATAATCCTTTCAAAACATGAAACATCAAATACTCTACCTTTATGCCACAGTTTGTAAGCATTTCATGTGCGTTCACTCACTTTATCCTATAAGAATGACATTGGATGTCAAATAGAGCAAGCCTTCTTTTCTTTTAGCTGCGTAATCGTTTTCTTGATCCTAGTTAGGAGAATCAGGGAGTAACTCTCACACTAACGGCTACTCAGAGTGGAGCCATATGAAGCATTTCCCTTCCACACAGAATGGCATCTGATAAAACTTCTAAAGTAGTTAATACACAAACATATCCAAACATCTTATGTAAATTATATATAATTTGTCAGTTTTTGATGAGGCAGTTTAATATTTTACTGAATTATTTCCTCAAAATAATTTTTGACTCGGATCAGTTTGAGTTATTTCCTGAAACTCAGAGAAGGCGTGTTAATTCTTCAGAAGGATGTTTGCTTGAGTGGGTGTATTGCTGACTTCTTGTTGGTTTTTTTCTGCCAGCATAAAAACAACTTGTTCTAACACTACGTTAAGTTGTTCACATTTTTTGTTTATGTCAGAGTTGAACTCATTACTTAGAAGAAGAAGAAAAGAAGAAAATATCATTTCTATAGCTTAGTCTTATCTGCTTTTGCAAATCACAAGTTCAACTAGAAACTGCACAAATGCAAGTTTCTGTGGTCAAGATCTGAAGTTCTGAAGGTTTTTATGGTTCATGTGTACAAATTGTTTCTGATTCTTTTCTGTTCCAGATAAGATTAAGACAGCTTTTGTTTTTAAGGTGCAATGCAAATTTGATCAGTTTTGTCACCTTTGCTATGCTAATCCTGCTCCATTTTCTGGAGCTTGAAAAGTTTTACAAATGTAAAAAGAAATTATTATGAGGAGGTTATATTTGCTAAAATCTAAATATCAAAAAAGGCCAACATTCGTCTTTTTTGCTATGACCAATTTCACAGCAGAATCTCCTTCTACAGAATTGCAAAAGCTCCCATTTGTGAAATCACGTATGTATGTAATCAGTTGTATAATTCAAATTAACAATAGATGGAAGAAAAATGAGGTTAACTGGATTGTGATCTGATTGTAAACTATGCGGGCAAATCTGGGGATATTTTAAATAGCTAATTAACCTAATCAGCCTGTTTTCTAACCCTAAACTGCTTTACTTCGAGGCAACTGTGCAACTGTTGGTAATCTAATACCTGCACCACCTTTCAGCCCAGTATATATTTGTTCCAACTGTTAAATGTTATCTATCAAAACAATAAATATATAAATGTTTTAAAGCATTAACATTTTCCGTTGACCAGATTATTCTTTTAATAAAACAATCCTATGATTTCCCATGCAACAAGATTTGCAGCGATATTGCATAAACAATTTTTGCAAGTAAATAAATTAATGGAAAGACGTGGTTGGTAGGGACTTGTGGGGAATGATTGTTACAACGGCTTGCTCTCATTGGATAAACAAGCGCACGAGACAACTCCTCCCACTTCCGGACGCTCAAGTTAACCGTTTCCATGGTTACAGCTCCGGTGAGTTTGGAATCATTCAGTTTTCACATCGCTGCTAACGCTATTAGTACATTATAAAACGTTTTAGTAAAAAAATGGATGATTCAATGACTGCTGTGGCCGCTAAGAAAAAAACGGGGTATAGAATGATGCCGGAGCGGCCCTACGACTACCTTTATGGTGAGTTCAATTAGCCACGTTAGCTTAAAGTAAACCTGCTAACCGTGTTTCGCTAACATCATGTATTAAACTGTTGCTAACAGACCCAGTTTACACCGTATCGTCAAAGGTGAACTACACCCGCGCCAACTTCATGAACAAACATCGTTCCGTGAGTGTATTTAAAATCATTTTAATTCGTATAATTGTTATTAGTTTCCTTAAACGGGACTTTTCTGTCATGGTGTAACCTCTGTACATTGTTTTCCTCTTTATTTTCATTTATTTATTTATTTTAATTCATATTAATTTATGTCAGAAATTAGTTCCAGAGTTGAAATCCATGTTCAGTGACAGTCCACGTTTCACTGTCAAAGTGGAATCTACTGACCCAATGCCAGGACTTTCCAAAGATGACAGGAATGAACAAAATCAGCAGCACAGAGATGCACCGCATCATCTGAGTGGGTAAGTAAAATAACAGCTAAAGTCCATATTTATCTCATTTTAAATTGATTACTGATCTTTTACACAGGTCTGCTCCAAGTGTTCAGACAAATCCAAAAACAGAGGAGTGTCGTGTGACCGGGGCTGATCGTTGGAAATATTTTAAATGGTTTGATTTGCCAATTTATAAGCATTTATTTGTTTATACTACTTTCTCATTGGTGTCCCGTTTCTTTCTTTCTAGTCCTTTGGTTACATTTTCACAGTATTTCCCCCCAGGTGGAAATTTTGCCCTGTCAAGGTAAATTCCACTTTGGCTTTCCAGTTTGTTATTTACAATTCTTATTGTTGGTGATTATAATCTGTTTTTAATACTTGTGTGACCTCAGAGACTTTGTAACCACTGAAGAAGATAATGAGCAGCAGCCCACCCAACACAATGTGAGAACTCAGACAGACTACAGAGAAAGTGAAACCCAGACAGACCCATTCAGCCCAGAGTATGTGCACCAACCTGGAATAACTCCCTCAGAGCTCCTGCAACTGGCAAAGTTAACCTCAGGTACAAAACCAGTTCATTTGGCACAGGATTTCCTTGTGGTCTTCCACAATGATGGTTTGTCTGCATTGACCGTTCTTCTCAGGTCATGGTTTACCAGCAGGCCTGGCTGAGGTGGAGATGATAGAGCGAATGCGAGCAAAACGAGCTTGGGAGGCCACCCTTCCTCCAGTAAATGACTTGAGCCAATTAGACAAGAGGGTGCGGATGATGAAGGAGATGGAGGCCAAAGAGTGGGCTTTCAGGGAGCAGGAGATCCAAAAGTGAGGAATTCAGCAACTCAAAATTCTATTTCACTCATTCAAAACCACCACAAAAGGTTATCCTCAGCATTTCCACCAGATTTTATTTTCATGTTTTCATGTAGCTTAAGTAATTTTAAATGAGAAAGACATATAGGATCATTTCAAACAAACAGCTGTTTCCTACTTAGGCGAACAGCTCCTATTAAATTTGTCTCACATTTCTGACACACAGAACCTAAACTGGAAACAGTATTATGTTCCTATCATAGACTCTAAGGATGGCTGGGGAGACATTTCGGCTCTTAGATCAAGGTGTTAAAAAGACGAAAGCACAGTAAGGAGATGGGTTTTGCGTTTGTTTCTACAAGCGGACGCTAGGGGGTGCTAAAAAGCAATCCAAAACTGCCTAGTTCCCCTTTAAGAAATAATGTGAACAATTACTTCTTGTTGTTTTTATTTATGTTTATATGTTTCTACAAATGTAAACACTCCCCTGTATTTCTGTGTGGGTCAGGTTGCAGGAGGCTCGTTCTGCATTGCTGATGTACAAACAGAGGGAACAACGTGAAGCTCGGATGGACTCCACAAATGAGAGAATAAACCACTTCCGTTCTCAGCTTTTAAAACAGCAACAGGTCAACATTCAGAAAATCGAAAAGGATCACCTCAGAGGTAAGACATTACCTTGTGCTTTATGTTTAGGACTTTTTCTGTCGCCTCTCTTCAGTGTCACCTTTCATTGATTTGTTTCCTCTTCTGTCTGCAGTGCTAAGAAAACTTGATGCTAAGAGAGAAAATGTGGAAGGGAAACTAAAGCGACGAGACATCGTCTTGGGTGCTCTGAAACGCAAGGACAGGTTTCCCAACAGGTTCTCCAGCGAGTTCAAAAGCCACTACTTGGACACATATGAAGGTCTGAATCTCCACATTTCAGAGCTAGAAATATTTTCCAACTTATCCTCATTTTAGAAAACACAGACTTTTAAAATTTTGTCGACAGGCTTGGAAAAACTAGAGGCATCACTTAAGCCATTGATGAAACACCCAAAGCCCAAGGATGTGCTGAAGCCTTCTGTGAACAAACCTCTAGAGCTCCTGATCAGTTACAAGGTAAAATAATGTTTCTGTCAGGAAATCCCCAGAAGTTTGGATACGTGCAGATTTAATTTTTGTGTCAATAGGCTCAGATACAGAAGGAGAAGGAACAAATAACGGAAAGGTCCCCGCATTTTATTGTTGAAAAGGAAAACCCTGTCACTCCCAGAGTTGAAGGACCCTCAGAGGTAACTTCTGATAGTTAATTTGTTGTTTGTGCATAAATAAAATGCATAAGCTAACTTATGTTGGTATTTAGGAGGAGGAGCAGACAGAGCTCGCTGTCATTGTTTTACAAAAGCTACTCAGAGGAAGAAGCATCCAGTACCAGGTCTGTATGTGTTTACGTGATTCTCATGTTTGAAGTCCTTACTGCGTTTCTGATCCCGAGTGTATTGATGTCATCCCGCAGATGTTTAAGAACACAAAAGACCAAATGGCTAACATTCAGGAACTGCGGCTCACCCATGCCTTCCGGAGCAAGGAGCAGGATCAAATAAAAGTCACCCAGGCGTATGAGAGGACCATGAAGAAACTGAGAGAGCAGGAAGCAGAAAGGGTGAAGCACCACACACACAGAGCACTTGGATCCAGTCGCAAACAATCTGATGAACTCCTCCGGTTCTTCTCAGATTGCTCAGGAGGAAGCAGCTCAAGACATGGTAATAGACAGGGAGATTGGAGAGCTGTTGGACACCTTGTCCAAGGAGCTGACTCGTCTGCAGGAAGAACGCCGGATCCATGCTTTCATTCTTCTAGCCGTGAGACAGCGGCGGCAGCGAGAAGCAGAGGAACGTGGAAGGAGACAGCAGGAGGAGCGCAGATGCCAAGAAGAGGACGAGATCTTCAGACAAGTAAAACGTTCTTCTGTTACAACTCTGCAACATTTACTTTGTGAAATTTGTTAAGAATCTGACCGTGTGTGGCTGTTTTCATTGTCTCACAGGTAGTGCAGGTCCACCAGGAAACCTTGGACATGTATTTAGAAGACACCATCTTGGAAAACCTACAAGTGATGGTGGACAAGCAGGCCAGAGAGGAGATCCAGAAGAAGGCAAAGAAACTCAATGATATTGTTATTGCCATGGAGGAAAGGTAACTGCTGCTTCAGGATGTCTGCTGAAACGTCTAAATTCAAAATATAATAAAGCGTGTGTGTGTGTGTGTGTGTGTGTGTGTGTGTGTGTGTGTGTGTGTGTGTGTGTGTGTGTGTGTGTGTGTGTGTGTGTGTGTGTGTGTGTGTGTGAGAAGCAGAGACAGCCTTCAGTCAGAGGAGATTACGTCTGAGATGATTTATGGCTTTCTCATCCCAGAGCCTGAGAAGATCCTCATCCAGCAAAAAGGCTTGTGTTCACACATTATTAAAAAAATTAGTTCTCTATGATTTTAAAAGCACATCTGAAATGTTATAAGGAAAAACCTTGAAGCTGAGTAATTTTTTCCTTTGTCTGACCTTGATGTTTCCGTTCCAGTCCATATGAAGCAGCAGCAACACCTGCAGGCAGCTCGGAGGATCATCGAGGAGGCAGCATCATCTTCCAGGCTCTCGCCTCAGGAACCATCTGAGCAAAGTGTCTCTGTTACAAAAGCTGCTAATCAAGTTCAGGAGGACACGGCCGGCCAGCAGGTGCAGGAAAAGAGCTCGATCAAACTGAATGAAGGTCTAAAATAAGCTGTTAAAGATTTTTGTTTAAGTGCTATTATCGTGAGTTAATTGTAGCCTTTATGTTATGTCCACAGCATGTTGCTCAATGTTTGTATGTGCTTAGAAATAAATAAACTTGACTTGATTATTAGTGACACTGTTTTTTTCTGGAGGGAAAATAATCTAAATCTGAATTTTATAAAAACTAAAACTAACAGAAAAAAATCTCTAATCTAAGTATATTTTTGAAAACATTACAGCAAATTTAATGTATCTTCAGATTGAAGTGAACTATTTTTTACTTGAACAGGTTTACGTATTTCCTCGGTGGTAAAACTTGATTCACAACTTTGATTATGTCTTTTGTTTTTCTGGGCTTTGAAGAGACACTGACATGAATTTTGCATAACAGCAGAAATATCAAAAGAACCATCAAAATTCATTTGCTCTGTCACGTAAAATATAAAAGCTGTTTCTCTAAACTGAGGCCATTCAGAGAGAAATAAAATGAATGGTGTTTGAAATACCTGAAATGTTTGTTTTAAATTAAAAAAATGTGTTTCTGGGTTCTTAAATGTCTTAACTGGGTAAAATCAGCAAAGTCAATGTGTCTTCATATTTTCTTTCAATTTTAGATTTCTGTTGTACATCTTTTTAAAATTTGACTCTAAAAACATAATTTTCTAAGGAGCAACGCAGCTTTTAACAATAAAGGAAATGTTTTTTTTTGTTAAATGCCATAACGAGTCGAGCTGTCCTGACACACCTCTGTTTTTTTAACAAGCTTTATTTGTTTTTGTCAGAAATACATAGTCACACTAACAAACATACATCAAATATACACACGAACAGACATCAGCTCATTAATCGACAAGGGGCACATAAAAGATAATACAACCTTCCAAAAGGCACATTTTTTGATTGTTTTTGTTATACAGGGTCAACCAGAAATAAACATTGAAGACTCATTAAAGTGAGTTCTGCCTTCTTATTTACAATTAACTTCATGGTGTTAACATATGAGTGGAAGTCCTTTAAGAAAACACAAAAGTTAGGGAGATGACGCACCTCTGGTTCTAGCCCAACACCAACCAGGAGTGAGGTCACCGGTGGTACCAAGGTAACGATTCTAATCAGCGTGGGCGGGGCTTACACCGGTAGCCCCGCCTTCCTGAGAGCTGCTGGTATGAATAGTTCTTGTTAAACTTAACAAGCAAACCCGAACGAGTGAGTTCTGCCGGAGAACCGACGGCTCTTGGTTTCATCTTCATCCCTCATCAAAGCTCACAGCCGTGAGGGGAACCTGTCAGAGCTCAGCACATCTGTCTGCAAATCTGGAGTCATCAGGTGAAAGAGTTCATTGACCTCGAGTGTCTGTTTAATTAAATCGTTGTTTAACCAAGTGAAGGAAGTTGTTTTTGTTTTCATGGTGGATAAAGTCTTGTCTCTGTGTCAAAACAGGACAAAATGTGCTTTAAGTGAGATTTAGAAACGTGACATGTTCGTCAAAAAAGACACGTGACGGGTCTGATGATTGACACAGAAACAGCATGTGGCTGCAGGGCAAATACTCAGCACGCGACTGTTGAAGATAAACGTGATTTTTGCAGTGAAAGAGCTTTGGGGGTGGACTCATGGATTCATGAAACAGCTTTCCATTTGTCATAGAGCGAGGTTAAAGTCAGACATGGATAATTATACATAAAAGTCCGTTTAGCTGGAATAAATGGACTCTTGTGAAGATAATAATTGTACTGCTGTGCTTTAAACTGGACATAAAGCAATCATGTGGTTCCCTGCTGCAGTCCTTTACATCAGAGAGAAGATCAGAATAAAAGCTAAAAGCTCCAGAATTAGCATCTTTGTGTGGATTACAAGAAAACAACCATTATTTAATTTTATTTTGTATTTTCTTGTATTTGTTTTTTCAACCTCAGGGCTACTGTAAAAGTGCAAGGCCTGATGTCAGAGGTGTTTAATGTTTCTTCTTACCAAACCTTTTACTTACACACTCATACACACACACCATTTTAAATTGGATCAAAACTGAACTGGATGATTCCTTGTTCAGTTGAAGATGAGCGAGAAGACCTCTGGGATACAAACAGACTGTGAAGATCTCACCGTGTTGACAGAGGACGAAGAGCCCAGAGTCTGCGGCGTGTGTGGCGACCTGGCTAAAGGCTACCACTTCAACGCTCTGACCTGTGAAGGCTGCAAGGGTTTCTTCAGGTAAACATTCCTCTCATGATTATATCTTGATCATCTTGTCCATCCTCTATTTAGTTTCGTGTTTCAGCAGGGCCATGCAGAGACCTCTGAAGGGCCAGGTGGTCAAAGTTATAAAAGGGGCACATATAGACCAAATTTTTTAAATGGATTCACCATCCAACAAGTTACAAAATTCAGATAATGAGACCCTTGGTTTCAAACAACATCATGTAAACTAGGAAAATATGTCATTAGTTAAGGTAACGTTATTTCATAAACAGTTGTTTTAGTTTTTAAAGCTGACTTATGTTACAACCACATTTTTGCCCCTGACCTGAATCCAAGTTGTTTGATTTTTGATCATCTTCCAATACTGAATCCTGTTTTGATACCAGGTGGTGATGCAACTGTTACAAGCCATCTTCCCAAACTAGCCTAACTCTTCAACAGATGTTACGTTTCAGGGTTGACTTGTATTTCTATTTGCGTGGGCGTGACACCAGCCACTCTTTAAAATGCCTGACTTTGTAGGAGCTGATTAGCAATCGCTGCTAACCTAGTCTCTGATTCTGGCAAAACCAACTTAATGCAGCTCAAGGGAGACTCACTTTACTCACAATCCATGTCCATGAAGCTTATGCACACTTCAGGTTAAGACTCTTGCCAGCTGTTCCTTTTATGCCGAGGAGACAACTGACTTTACCTGTAGCCTAGGATGGAGGAAACACATATCAATTACACCTAGGGATGGCATTTACAACCAGCATCTCACCTTTGCTCGGTTACCGACAGGAGGAGACCCCACTTGTAAATCCTTTTTTCGTTCCACGAATCCGAGGATCTAGGTTTTATTTCACACAGATGAAAAAAGAATAATAATCCAAACGAAACCCCGACAAAGTGGGTTAAAAAGTGAAACAACTCTTTGCCAATAAACCGAGTTATAGCAAAGTTGAGCTGAATAAGCTCTCCAAAAATGACACTAGGTCAGATTATCACAGACAAAAAGCTCAAAGCAAAAGCTTCCTTCTTTCCATCTCTGTACCTCACACACTCTTCCCATCAAAGGCCCTCTCTCCTAAAAGCTCTCAAAAGCCTTTCTCCAAAAAGCTCAGTCCATGACTGACTGACTCTCACTCATCCCATCAAGCTCATCTCTTGAACAGACCCAATATCTTCCTTTTATTGACTCTGTCCCCTCCCTCACAGTCATTTCCTTGTTTGCTGCTTCAGACTTCCTGGTCACGTGTTCCTCTTCTTCTTGTTACTTCTCCAACGGCCCCGAAGAGCAGAGGTGGTTTTACCATTAGGCATAGGTAGGCGGCCGCCTGGGGCCCCCTTGTGTTGGGGGGCCCCTAGCCCTGACTGCCGGCACCCCTCTGTTAATGCTACAATATTCTTATTACCAACCTGTGGCCGTAGACAGGATTGGACATGCTTCTCATTACCATAATTCCTGAACCATTCAAGATATCATTAAAATTCCAAAAGTGCTGAAAAGACTAAAAATGGGGCTTTTCGTGCATATACAGTACATTACGGTAGTCACCGGGGTTTCCCTGTCTTGAGCGAAAGAATCAACACAGATTCAGAGACTTGCTGAGTTTGTCATCCAAAATGCTCCATTTTATAACTTTTGAATGGCTGATCAGATTCAAATAATTCCAACGGTTCCTAAAAGTACATAAAAGCAGCTTTCCAACGATCTATAGCATGAAGCAATCAGTTAGGAAAAATATCGCTACGAGGGGACATCCTGCTGTACAGCCTGACTGAAACGGAGCGGAGCGCCGCGGTGAAAGCGGATAATGGAACGGGGAAGCTAATTAGCATAAAAAAACAGCGTGAAATTATGGAAATGCCTCAAAGAAAATCAGCACGATCCATTAGGTGTCCCAGAAGGCTTATATCTGAAGACAGTGACCACAAAAGAAGGACAGATCTCCAGTGAACCAGGGTATGAATGTTTGTTCAGTCTTTTTTTTTTTTTTTTTTTTTTTTTTTACAACCCTCAACTATTTGCTAATTGTAAGATTCAGCTTCATTCCAGCATTATTTATCTTTTTACCATAAATAATTATATTTGCTAAAACAAGTTTTTGGTATAGCGGTGCACGGTGTGCAAGAGAAGCACCCCATGCATGGCAGTGTGATGTGTGCAGCACTCTACCTGCAGCTGGAGAGAAACTGCTTCAAGGTCTACCACATCAAATAAAAACGTCTGAAAGTTTACAAAAATAAATGGTCTTAAAAACTGCTAAAAAAAAAGATACCAAGGTTCAAATTTTTTAAGAATAGATGCATTACAGTTCAAAGTTTAAATTGTTTGCCCAGTAATTTTGAAGTTCCTGTTCAGTAATAAATGTTAAAAATTCTAATCCGTTTTTTGCTTTTTTCACTTTTAAGCTAATAGAAATAAATTCTAAATACAAATCATACACTGAAAGCTGAGGTTGTTCTGAAAAAAGGAGAAGGGTTACACACTTTGCACTATTTATTACAATTTTACAGCGATAAGATTAAAAAAAATACCAGGTGGCCCTGTTATAATTATGGTCATAAGAGGGTTATTAAGACGGCGATGCACAAACTGGAAGTGATTGGTAGTCATTACACTCCAATCCAGTTGGTGTCGGTAAAGCACCAAATTGTTGTTTGCCAAGTGCCATAAGACCACAAATAATAAGAAGAAGAGAGGCGGCAGCATTCGTAACAAACTCAAAGCGATGGTCAAAACATTATTAAGCATGACATGGAGTTATCCTAGTGGTTCCAATAAGAGAAAGAAGCAGCGTGCTTCATAAAAGCTTTTATTTTCACTTCTGAAAGTGACGTCGTTTTTCTATGTAAACATCAATGGAAGCAGAAAGGAAAGACAATGGAAAATGTTTCAAGGGAGGAAAACATGGACCAAAATGGACAATAGAAAAACAAAAAATAACTAAGGCTAAAGCACACAGGAGCACTGACAGGAAGAAGAAAGCAGAGCAAATAATGAAAGCACTCAAAGGGAGAGAAAAACAGGAAAAAAAGAGGAGGACTAATAAAAAATGAAAATAATTCATGTCAGAAGAGGGGAGAGTTTCGCAAATCCAGTTTAAGGTAAGATAGTCGAAAATTTAGTGTAAGGGGCCCCATGTCTGTGTTCGCCTTTGGCCCCCAAATTGCTAAATCCGCCCGTGCCGAAGAGACCATAAATCTTGGATGTCATGATGTCACCTTTTCTTCTTCCAGTCTTAATGGTCATCTCCAGCTGGTCAGCAGAGGGAGACGTGTGGTTACCCCTCCCTTTTCTTCTTCTGCTTAGATTCAACTGGTCATCTCCAACATTAGCTGGACAAGATGTCTTATTTATATGTTTATAGTATCTTGACCAACTCCACTGAGGATAATGGATAACATAGAGCTCCGGACTCCACGTGACTCTCAGTTAGTAGACGCCATATTGGCAGTCAAAAAAGGTAAACAAACACGGATGAACATGAACGGGATCGGCTTGGATTTTACTTCGTCAGAGTTTACTTCACACTTTAAAACCGAAGAAATAGTTTTATATAGTCAGAAATTAAATAGACTAAACATCTCCGACCCTTACCGTGCCCCTGGGATTCTTTTAAAAAAACGCCAGAAGCTGTCGGAGCGGACTTCTTACCGGACTTGGCCGGGGAACCCCTTGGGATTTCCCCGGAGGAGCTTGCCCAAGTAGCTGGGGAGAGGGAAGTCTGGGCCTCTCGACGCTACTGCCCCCGTAACCCGACTTCGGATAAGCAGATGAAAATGGATGGATGGATGGACAAATAACATAGATTTACTTGTAAGTAGTTTAAATAGAGTGCTGTGCTGTTTGAATGTATAAACCGAACGCCAAGAGAAATCACTAGTTTGATTTTTTTCCTTGAATAAAATAAATAAGTCAGGCAGGAGCGTCTCAGGATCTGTCTGAGATCTGTCTCGGTGAGACAGATAATAGCAATCCAAAGTGCTTTTTATGTGTGATCTGACAATTGATCAACCATTGCTTAAAAATTAAATACAGCTTAGCCGGTTAATTGCTGGGATCATAAGACACGTAAATGGCAGAAGGCAGAAATCATGAGGCAACGTTTAACATGATGTTTACTTGTTGCTATGAGTAATGAGACAGAAAAAGCCACGCCAAAATAAGTTTAGGAAGCCCACTAAGAATCATAATAAAAGCATTTAAAAGAAATACCATACACAGTTGAGGAAACGTTGTTTAAGTACCTGATATGAAGTGGTCGCTGCATAAGTGAAATCCTTTACTCTCGGGATCCCCATTTTAGCCCGGTCACTAGTGTGTTTTATTACAATGATCCAACGTTTGCGCCGCTCCGGATCTTGGGGAATCCTGTAGATGGCTCTTCCCTTATCTCATCCGCATCTGTTCTGCATCCTGGGGCACAACAGGAATCTACCATATTTCCTGTCTGATTGAGTTTTCTAACAATAACAAATAGTCCAGCTGCGGGCTTCTGCCTGCCAATATGGCGCCGTTTCGATTTGAACTGTTGCATGCCGGGAGAAGTGACGTCAACTCCCGGAACTCTATACATGCTTACTCCCAACATCTGTTCAGGTCAAGACAGGTTATATCCACAACATGAATCTTTTAACCATATCAGCAGAGTGAAGGCACATCATTAATATACAACATCACAGTTCAGGGGGCTACTGCCAGGACACACACACAAACATGAGAAGAGGAGGTAACAGGCCTTTTTAGCTTGGTTTCACACACACACGGATATATCTTGTAGAGCCTAGAGTTGATTTCACATAATGAGACATAATCCAGACTTAATTCCATACATTAACAAGTCTGATTATACTCCATACAACAGCAATGCATTAACAAAGAAGAAGAAAAATGGAGAAAGTTCCATAGTCATCATCACATACTGGTGATCTCATTGAAGGAGAGTGGTGAGATGCAGCAATGGGTGTGCTCGGGAACTATTTGGTGGTTTTACCCCCAATCCAACCCCTTAAAGCTGAGTGTC